CACCCGTTAACGATATTACATCCCAATTAGATGTATAGTCACCATTTGAACATTTCAACAAGGCTCGGGTTTAATGCGTTCAAAAAATCATCAGTTTCGTGAAATGAAAAGGTCGATGACCAAAATATAAAAATTAAACATTACAACACATGGCGTTCCAGAGTCTATCAACGTTGCATAAATCAATGTACATGTACTAATATGTCACGTAATTGGAGCGAGTGCTCCAGAAATACTTGTCTAATTTGACATGTGACCCAACATTGATCACGTAACATTCTCACATACTGTACTAGGTAATTAGTCGTTATGATATTTGTACCTTTTCAGTGTACGTTAGTTTTTGCCAATTTCGTAATAACGCACAATGTGTATTGACCGCAATCGATTAATGTTTTAGAACGTCGATTTGTGGTTGTTTTTTCTGTGGCCAAGGACAGCAGTACATGTGCTCATGATGCCGTTTATGGGTGCCATAGTAACCATCACATCCGGTTATATGGCGGTCGATCAACTTAGCCTGAGAGGAAACAACAAATTTCATATTATTTATTTATTAATATAAAGACAAGTTCGCGATTTCATGGTGTAATAAATCGTGATTTTTTAGTATTCCCCTCGATTTGTTGTTATTGTTTTCTAATTTTGGGGCGCCAAATCAATGGAAAAGGTCACACCGCGGCGATTAGTTTACGGGTATTCAGCAATACATACGTGATATAGGTGAAAAAACTCAAGGCCACTCATTACAGTGTATACGCGCTTCGTAGAGCAAGAATAATTTAAACTGACAGGCGGGGATTGGTGACCGTGATTGAACTGTTATCATGGTATTATATGTGTATTTAATGTGCAAATATTGAAAGTAGAAATGGTACTATATAATTGAACGTCTCCGATTTCATAATTGTATTTAAATATGCCAATAGAATATACATTTTGTATGAGTAAACCGGTAGTTTGTGGAAACATTTTCCATTATACGGTGTGCAGAACTAGTGCCATAGTGAACAGGGAACTAGGATTGTACTAAATAAACTTGATCACGAATATAGAACGATAAAACAGTGAGCCTTTTTTCAGACCCAGGGGACATATACTATAGCTACGATGCATGAGTGGGTTCCTAAACGATTTTTGCGGCGCTAACAACGCACTAGCTCCCCGGTTCGAGGTCGCGGAATTAATAAGGAAAGTATACATGTGAGAAGTTCAATGATCAGTGAACAGTAGTACAAACAGTTTTTATTTTAAGTATTTTTTACTATAGCATGGAATATAATCCACAATAATTAACAGTGCAGTTCATTTCTAATTGTACCCGAACAAAAATATTTCAATGTATATCAAGTATATTGATCTAAAAAATATTTATTAAAAAATAAAAATAAAAATAAAATAAAATAAAATAAAATAAAATAAAATAAAATAAAATAAAATAAAATAAAATAAAATAAAATAAAATAAAATAAAATAAAATAAAATAAAATAAAATAAAAATAAAATAAAATAAAATAAAATAAAATAAAATAAAATAAAATAAAATAAAATAAAATAAAATAAAATAAAATAAAATAAAATAAAATAAAATAAAACAAAAAATCATACTGAGAAAACTCACGTTGATGAAAACACTGTACATAAGTGGATTCGTTGAATTCAGTGTCCGATCGGTCATCGATCCCCGCGTGCCGGATGTAAAATTGTGAGATCGTTAGAATTGTAGTAGTAATCTAAATAAAATAACTACATTAATAAATGACTTGATAAACCAAAGTAATTCTACGTGAAGAACAGTTACGACACAGAAATAAATAAAGCACTACAAGTTTACGATGACACGGAGCCACTGGACTTCCAGGGATCGTGTAATCCAATACGAGCTTTACTGGTTCCCGGGAATGTCCGTCTATCAAAACACGCATATGTTTACGTCAAGTCCATACAAGGGTATGGGGTCACGGAACGCTACTATTCGCCAGATTAGCGTGGGCTACTGACACTTTCACAGAACTATGGAATAATTGAGAAAAGTGCGGATGTATTTTTTAGAGAATTTGCTATCGACAATAAAGTAACATCATCTTAAAGATGGCCCTCGAAAATGACCCGGGGGAAAAGGGTGCTACGTTAAAATCACACCGAACCATAATCGACGGCGGCCTCTTCACTGTGAGGATGGAGCAGGGTATTCACAAAATTCGAGTTTACGTTACAGTGATTCTGAAGCGCAATGTCACTCACAATGCCGAAATAATCGTGTTGTTAATTGCATGATAATGATTATTTTTTGTCGAAAAAAAAAATAATTAAAACAACACATGGTATTTGTTTTTTAAGAACTATTTCTATTCTGATTTAATGCCTATAAATTGTGTGTGGATTGTTTTACCTCGTCAACACATTAATTTATTATTATTTGGATTTAAAAAAACAGAGCATTGTAACCCCAAGCCCAAATGTTCCGAAATGGGTAACACCAGTAGCTATCGCCCATTGTTAGATATACGCAGAAAGGTCAAAGTCTCGCTGTCACAGCATATCTTATCTCTGCATAATGACCTAATTTACATTTTGATACGGCGAAGCAAACTCGCCATGCGAATGGTCGTGTGTATGTATCTAATTTTAGCTCAGAAAAACGGGCGAGGCCTATCCATATTCGGGACAATGCTTGGGGTCTTTAATATGAAATTGTTTTTATTTTCGTCGTAAAACTATACAACTATAGCCGTCACTTGGCAACCATGTTGTTTACTTGCGTCAATGCGTAAATACTTGCATTTGTATTCAACGTCATAATTTATGCGCTTTCTCGTTATTGGACAGCACTGACGTCAACAGGTCAAAGTACGATGCTTTATAAATACATCCAATCAGTCGAGAATGTTCGATACTGAGAAAATACACCAAGTCGGCCATTACTAACCATTTTATTTTTAGCTTTGAGGTTTTGAACAATTTATGAATGCGCTCTTCAAACTATGAAAAACTAATCACTTTTCTGAGATTGTTCGCTTTTGTTCGGGTTATTTGCAAAAATCGTTGCTTTAATACAATCGGATAGTAACGCATGCCTGCTGATCGTTTCGAAGATTCTCCTTACCTAACACGTCACGTGGTTATTTTAAAGAATGACATCATGTGAGATCATATGCTAAAAATAGCCTGGCTCAGCGCAGATATATACAGCTATAGTCAGGAAAATCCCGCATTCAACCAATGACTCATATACAGTGACTTCCGCCCTGAAATAAAAAACAACGATCTCATCTAAGAAGCCTACGGAAGTAATTTAAATATTGACGTACACGCCCACATTACGAACACCGTAAACCGAACATCGAAAGCGATCGACAGACGACGACCAGTAGCGGAATCGTGAACATGTACAACACACCGAGTACTTCACAGCCAGACAGCAATACTACGAATATGTTGATCTCCAGTCACGACGATACGCAATTCATCGTAGCAGATGTATTGTCGTCAATGGCCTCCGGACTTATACCCGCCGATGCAAAGGTATTTTTTTTTTCCCGTGCTTTTTTTCTTTTCCAGTTAAAACAATAGTGCATGCCGCCAATGGCCACCTTTGTTGACCTCTAAACACCACCGTACAAGTATATAGCGGTAGTACGTATTAACCCGACCACTTCCAGGGACTATAAGCGTGGCCTTAAACCGCAAATCGCGGAAGTGGCGACAATATGGATATGCGTACAATATGTTCTTGACACTAACAAACCACATCCGGTCGGACGTGGTTCGGGAGGTGCGGAAGGGGGGGTCGTGGCACCGCTCGGTCATTCAACCCATTCCAATCAGGAAGTGTAGATAGGTTGCGTAACATAATTCGTAGAAATGGGTGGTGAGGCCGTCACTTAACGTCAGCACCCCCGAATAAGCCACACGTACGAGCGTCCGGCTCTATAAACTAGCTTGTACCAGCGTGTACCTGCTATTTGGAAATATTTGCTTCAGCTATGCATAGACAGATATCTCAGCACGTTCAATCACATACGTATGTTCGCCGGGTAAGATTGTTTGTTTTTTTAATATCGCACATATTATAACCATATATAATGCTCAGATGGAACGGTTAATAACGCCGTCGAGATTCGTTAAAAAACCCACCTTAATAATTATATGTGGACATGCGTGCCGATAGACTCGACCTCATCACACACATACTTGAATATTAATGCGCATATCAAGGTATTTTGCATGTAAGGTCGGTTCGTTTATTATGAATGGCGTGCAGTGAGAGACGTTGTGGTTATTAAACTGCGTACATTCTTACTAGTACGTATTGCAGTGTATTGCCGTTTTCTTGCACTTGATAATTATTTATGTAGTCTACGTCTAGTTGTAATTAGACATCCTTTTAATGCTAAATACTGTATTTGTGTTACGTGCTTAAATTTCCAGTATTCGCGTCAATGAATGACGTGACGCAGGTATTAAAGATCGCGAAACGTATGCTTCGTAGCTATATATATACTAGTACGACATAACCGATGACCTTGTTGTGTTCCGAGTCCACGCCTTATGTTTTCTTTCCTCTCTGTCTATCTCTAGGATTACACCGAATCTGACGATTTAATGGATATATCCACCTTAGCACCGTCACTACAAACCAACGCCACCACTTTCTCTACTTTGGCTGGCACTACGCCGACAGGCGCACCGAGCAATAGCTCTTGGATGTACAATCAGATCAACACTATACCAAATGACAATTTTATTCACGGCGGTGGTTTCACTCCACCGGTCATCACCACTGCCAATAATATGCCCGTCCTCAGCCAGGGCCTGGACATGTCATCCAGATCGAGCAGTAGAAGTAACTGTTCCAGTCCAGCGTCTGTTGTGAGCGAAGGATCGAGTTTGCTGGGAAAGACGAACCTCACGCTGACAGGGCCGCTGAGAAGACGAATCAGTGACAAAGAGGTAGGTTAATATATTCACAAATAATCACAACCATTCACTTATCGTTAGGCAGCGCTCTTCCCAGTGGGAGAAACAACTTTCATCAATATCATCGTCACACCCTGCTGCAAACAATGGGCGGTTGCAAATCATTGCGCACCACCCGAGTAAAGCCAATTCGTGGTACTAGTACTATAAAAACAATATTTAATCGTTAGACATATATTCAGTCGTACAAATTACAAACTTGTTACTAGTAAAAGTTTTAGTTACTCATCCCATGATTTAGTATCCATGACGACAACTCAGTAACACAAATTAATATGATGAATCACACGTGATGGAAAAATACAAGTGAACTTCGAAATTCGGCCAAGTTGTACAGTCATGCTAAAACAAGCTGAATCATCACTTTCTCTAAGGTTTTCATCGTAATACAATTACTGAAGTTGAATGAAATACTCAGTGCTACAATACTCAGTACCACATTCGTTATCTCCACAATACAACCTGAATGAATGCTAAAACAGGGTGATTGTTACATTATACAATTCACGTCATTAAGGTGTTCTGGAAATCAATGAAAATGGCAATCGGGTATATCCCCTGTAGGAAAAGTGGTTTGAGTCATTAACTAGCGGTCAAAGTTGCTGAGTCATCATGATGATCATCTTCCCACGCATTCGCTGAGGTTGAATCAACACGTGCCTGTTGAAAACGTCTGAGAATTGAAATCAACTCCTATGGACAAATGAACTCAGTACTTTTTAATTATTTATGCGATTTTCGGTGATTTACGATGAATCACTGCCCCACTTTCAGCCTGTTCGTCCCACTTTTCTTTTTAATCGAATCGAATGATTATGCTTATTGTGAACACATACTAATTAGAATTTGAATTCCGAGGGGCGTGGTTGCGTCACTTGGGTGTGGCTGGAGTTAGGGTGTGGCCATTATGCCTAATGCCAAGCCGTCGCTTTCAAAGGGGCATGCCCCAGTTATTAGCGCGAGTAGATTCTATGTACTTTGTCATACTAGTAGTTGTCTATTATTAGAACATCAACAATTTCGACAGAGTAGCATGCACATTTTATTGACGCAATGGAAAGGTGCATACCCCCATCAATTTATCTCGTCTTCGTTTAGCATGAAGTAGTGCTGAATATCGTATAGTTAGCTCAATATTGACTAGTGTCTGGGGTTTTTCTTCTTATAGCTCGACCCAAGCGAAAGAGTTAAAAGGAAAGTTCGCCGTGAACGAAACAAGGTTGCTGCTGCCAAATGCCGCCAGAAACGTGTCGACCAAACCAACACCCTTGTCGGTGTAAGTATACATCAATACAAATACAACAGTTCTTATGTTCGTTTTTCAGTGCATTTGTCGCTCTCAGTAGTGGCCATATTTCATACTCGTGTTTTTGTTCATGCTAATCAAAACTAATTTTTGTTATTGTTTTCATTCAGGAAACTGAAGAATGGGAAGAAAAGAATAGAATTTTGCAAAATGAAATCGCTAAACTGGAAAAGCAGAAAGAACAGTTGCAGTTCCTATTGCAGGCACACAAACCAATGTGCAAAATTGCCCAACACAGCCACTCGATGCTCAACTGCCCTTCCACAGACTCATATCAAGCTGCCACTACATTTGCCACTACTTTCTCCAAATCAAGCATTCTGCAAACCCCTACAACTGAAGTTGTAACGCCGACGTCGTCCATGTTCACCTTTCCATTGGAATTGCCAAGCAGTTCACTGATGATGAACACATCATGCGGCAGCGAAGTGACTAAGGTAGAGCAAAGCAGCAGTGACTTGTCAAGTCCCGACTCAGTCCAGAATCTCATCGCTCTCTAGAGTGGTCACGTGATCAGCATGTGATCAGTGAGTGAGCTCACGCTGTACTAACTATATTTAAGAGCTTGCCAGAGAATGACAGTTATCAATTCAAGTATCCAAAGAAGAGAAAACATTTACCATATCAATGGAAAACAAGACCATTTGGTTATTGACGAATTAGAACATTTTGTGTCATTTTTTGTGTCAATTTATGAATTTCTGATTGATTACAATCGCATCTTAAAATATGTCCAAAAATGAAAAGTCGTTCTCTGGTTGTGGCGATCAAAGAAATTCATAATAACTGGATGCAAGTTTATTTTGACAGAAAAGTGAAAAGATGAAAAAAAAACACGAATAATTCAGTTGGTGCTATATTTTGGAAAGAAACAGATAGCTATATTTTGAGGAATCGAAGAATTTGATATTTGTTATTCGTGTTTTTTAAAATACATTAGAGGCATGTATGTTATGCTGACCAAAGGTGGATTTTTTGTAAAACAACAACTTCTAAAAGCAAGTTACCATCTTGAATATATTCTGTATAGCAGTCTAGTGAAATAGTTGTCATGTCTCACTATGTCTTTTGCATGATATCTGTTTTCGACATCATACAGTTCTTTTTGTATAGTTCTTTGATGACGTAGCATTGTCACGTGACACTAAAGTTTGTCAATTATGTGGTTTTCTTTAGGACAGTTAGCCCTCACAGTCTCTGAAATCGGCCCAGAGCAAGTTTGGCAGCCAATGACATCACTCAACGCTAGATCCAGGCGGTTGATATAAGTGGCGCACTGCTCCCTGCTGACTGAACAACTCACAGCGTAAAAAAACAAATATTATGAGTACCCCCTTTGTGGTTAGTATAATTTTCTTCCAAAAACGTACAAAAATAACCAGAAAACAAATATATATTGTACACTATGCATGTCTTATTTCTGCAACTAACCAAATATGTATTACGTTTAGTAAGGACCCTCTAATCTGACGATTTGCAATTGCTGACGTCACATGACAATGCTATAAAGTTACGTGACATGTCTCAGGTTAAAGGTGATTGCTAAGGGAACTTGAACTCACTGCCATTTTGTGCAATCAGTTTACTAATTTTTTTCAGTGTAACTAATTTATGGGTGTGATGAAAACTTTTAGTGTTTTTTTTAACTGAAGCAGAAAAACAGAATTTGTGCGCATTTTTTCAGATATTGCATGGCGTATGTTGCATAATGTATTCGAATCTGCCAGAATAAACAGAACAGCATTTTTTGTCTATACAGAGATTATAATTTATTTTATCAAAAAAAACAATAGTTTATATTTCATATGCATTTATTTTACTAGTATATTGAGGTCTGGCACCTTTTTGTTTCACTTACTTGCTGTCATTGTATTGAATTTAATTACGGCGTATATCATGTAAGCTGGTCTTCCATTTTGTTTTATTAAATACGTTCGTTTTACATGTTGATATAGCAATGGTTTGTTTTTTTGTTATTTCTCCGCTACTTCTCTGTATACTAATTTTTCATGCGCATGTGGGGGGGGGGGGGTGATAATACCACAGACCCAAATGGGCTGAAACGCACGCTACAGTGTGTCACGATTTGAAATCTGACTAGGTTTACTATTATTGTCGGTTTCACACCACTGCGCATTTTATTTTGACAGATCATTTTTTTTTACTTTCAAGTTACACAACTACTTAAAGTTCTGTTACATATTACTTTTCTTGTTAATTAAGTCCAAGTCACGTGGTTCTTTCATAATGCTTTGGATGGTTTCCCGGTTGTAACTATTCGGGTATCGGTCTAAATGACTTGTCGCCCGCAATCCCATCGGGAGCCTCCCATTTAAGAGAATGACGTTTATATAATAAACTTTTAATATTAAAATTTTCAAAAAAGTCCAAGCTTTCATCCAAATCGGAACCTAAGCGAAAGGCAGCTGATGTTACACCAGAGTACATTTCAATGTTGATGAATTTTTAAATGAAGACGAGAAAAAAGGGGCTTCCGAAATTGATTGTTTTCTTACTGTCACATTGTTTTTATACATATATAACTTGAAAATACACAGTGGTTGGTAAATAAGTTATTGAATACGTCTTTGTTACATTGAATATTAATTATTGTAATTAGCACTTGATGACGTCTGTTAAATATATGTAAGTAAATAAATAAATAACTGAGATGTTACAATGAATTACTTGGAGTCTGCACTTTTTTTAACTTCTTTATATCGAGTTTAGAGTTTGTCTGACATCACTCCGTCGTCGATCATAAAGTCCATTCCCAGATGTACTAATGATCCGGGGGGTAAGAGGATACATGAAAATGATGTCAGTCACTTTCTTTATACGTCCTTTATAATTCCGTTTCTTCACGCCTACGGCACACCTATTGCGCGTCTCTAGTGTGCCATACGTGGGAGCCACTTTGCAAGCATTGCCCCCACAGTTCCCGGAAGTAGCGACAACTTCAGTTCAAGTCGTTGTTAATGTTGACCTACACCAATGATACTAGTACTTTTGCTTGTCACCACACCCAAGACACGCCCTTTCAAATATTCCTATGCCGCTGTGGGATTGTGAAAGTATGTGTAACACGGAGCCCACTCATTCGCATATCTCAGTATCCGGATGACAGCCCTCCTAAATCAGCCACCGCAACTATTGCTTAATTCGACCATTACCGGAGTTGAAACCTGAGGTTTTTTTTCTCATTACCCGCCCAAAATGTAAAAATGTAATACTAGAAACCTAACTACCTGCAATCTCTAATCTGACTGTCACTCGCCACACCATATCTATGATAACAAGAACGGCAGATCAGCTTACAATTAATTTAAGTTTGTGCAGTGTTATCTAATACCAGTTTGTATAACTCTTATTATAAGTGTTCGTTCAATCGCAGTTTCGTACACCAGTAGACAAGAAATTCAGCATACATAGCATTCTTGTATGTCTGTTACTGTGTGAATGCGTATTCGGTGTATTCATAATAGTCAAAATAACGAGGCTCTTGAATTAGTTAATAATGTCTGCCTCTGAATATGACGTTAGCTGTGACGTCATCACTAATGTGACCAATGATACACAGAAATGAAGGATTTGTTTTCACGCTCAGGTATACAGAATAAAATATGTTTTCCGTTCACATTGCTAAATACAATAAACCATACGAGTACATCGGTGGTCGTTTTCTCTTTCACTGTGAAGTGTGGGTCAATCTTCTTCCAACTGACTGCAGAGGTGTACTAGACGCACAAAATCCCAAATTACCTTCGTCAACATGACTTGTGAATTCGTATGTGGTAAAAGGTGCACCAGAACTTGACGAATCCCATTTCATTTATCATGTCCTATCAAGTTTATAATCAGCACAGAAGGCTATCAAGAATTGAAAATAATACAATTACTAAAAAAGACTCATTTATAAAATACAACTTTACTACAAGACAACAAATATATATATTTTAATGATTATTCGTTTCGTGTATTTTGTTTTATATTGTTACTTTTTCTATGTTATGTTTAGTGACCATAGCGACCTTTAGTGTTAGTGACATTTATATTGGGATAACTCACTGTTCGTCGGACTGCACATGACAGAATACACTCATATATTGGTGCGAATGTTATTACGTGTTACAGAGATATGAGTTGAAACATGGGTTCCGTCGTTGGAGGCGCTTTTCCTACAAGTTACTAGTTCATATTTGTTTGCGTCTCCCCTTTGAACGCGATGTGTTGAAACTCACTGCAGTTACGTCAGACGTTAGTTAGCAGCTGTGGGTATCAAATTTTGAAATTTTTTGGGTATGAAAATTGTATGTAGATTTCGTCACGTGCAAATGACTAACTTGCGGCTTCCATACAAAAAATAAATATTTAAAAGTCAACTGAGAAAGGGGCAAGCGCGTGGTGGCGCTCTTTAATTAACGTATGTCGATTATATACATTGCGAAAGTATTCATCGTTGAATATTAGATATCAGATATACACTGTTCCGAACTCGATTGGCTGTCATTTTGTATCGTGGAGTACCATAAACATATCACTACAAACGACACATTTCTATCAGCAGCGTACTGATGAGTATCACAAAATATAAATACCAAAAATAATATGATTTAAAATAAACTCATTAGACCATCTCAGAGCTGGTAAATCTGAATTTAGTAAATGTCAGGCATATTTAAAAAAAAAACCCTCAATAGCTCAACAAGTATTAAATGTATGAATATGCAAAAGTGATTAAAATAAAGTTGTTGAACTCGTTTGGTCGTTAATTACGAATAAGAAAGGCTGGTAATGGATAGTGTGTGTGTGTTTTCCATCTATTTTGTAGGAGTTTGAGCTGCATAATAGTTGTTTGTTAAATTACTGATCGCTCACAATTCAATTCACCAGAGCCCAGGCAGTGAAAACTTTGGGGATTTTGTGATCATCGACCTAGGTTTACCAGTTCCAATTTTCAATATATACATCAAACAGACCATTGTTATATATTATTATAGTATTTAGTAAAACATACCACATCTTATATGTCCCTTCTTATACGTCCCGGCGAATGGTCTGACCACACCCACGCACATACTTGTAGACTAAATTCAGGGTGGTAACGGTATTCGCACTCTCCCCGTTGCACCACCCGCACCACTATGAGCCACACTAAATATCAACCAAATTAAAGGGCGGCAGTCGTCGTGCCGCGCATGTGCGACCTTTGTGTTGATAAACATTGATTTTCGCACAATCCAATGCGCTCTTCTACTGGAAATCACAAGTATGAGGTTTGACCTGGGCGCACTTAAACTAATTACCGCCGGCGACTCCTTCGATACCTTCCAATCACCTAAAAAATATCCAATTAAAGCTTGGTAACGTCTCAGTTTGTACTCGTTGATCTGCGCAACAGTCAAAGTCGCCATCTTTGTTTATATGAGACCATATATCTCGTGCATGCGTGGCACGACCACTACCGCGCTTTAAAATACTCTATAATAATAGAATTTGTCTAGACCTTTATTGAGAAGATTCAAACGACCTTGTACCCTTGTAATTTTCCCATACGTTCCATCTCAACATTATATGGGCAGTTATAAAACATTGTATTATATATGTTTTCCTTGAACCGAATCTGAAATTTATTTTCATTATTTAGGGGCAATCATGGCTCTTGTTGTCATGTGATTACACTGCGGGCAAGCCAGCGATCTACATTCGTTACTACCGTTGAGGGCAGCATACAACAGAACAGCCGTATAAGAATTAGAAATCGATACCGTGTTCTTTCTAGAAAAAGTTACGTTGGTGTCAGTTGCGCCCGGTAATCAAAAAGAAAAGGATCTCCTGATATTGCATTCACACCAACAAGAGGCGTAAATATGCTGACTAGTAGACGGGCAATGTTTCGGTTGACCATATGTTTCTTCTGTCTTTTGTGTATTATTTCAGTAATAGTTAACAATTCTGGCTATGACCCGCGCGTGATTTTGGAACCAATCGACACATGACCTAAACTGCCTTAAAATTGTACACAACATAGAGGGCCAACCTAATTTGAAATAAGATAAACTTATAAATACAGTTGATTTTGGCACACAAAGTCAGTTTAGAACGCAAACGTGCCATTTTACGTCGGCTTAGGTTAGGTCGGTGTAAATGGACACAAAAACAGATGTGAACACGGTACGAGTCGTGAGCTAATCAACTGTTACTATCATGCTGCCTTGGAAAGGATATACCACTCATCTTTTGTCTTATGTCGAAAACGCAAAGTCATTATTTTATTTCTTCTAACCAATTACAAACTCATAGAAGCCTACTCATGAATATGAATGCAAATACCCAGAATTTATTGTACTTCCGGGCAATATAAGGATATTGAGTTTAAAAAAAGTTGGGTCATCAGCTCAATTTTCGAGGAAATGATGGTTGTTTTTTAGTGGATAATGGCCATTTTGGCAGTATTATGTCATGATTTATATTTTCATGTGTTTAGAGGAGGCCGCTTTTTGCAGTTATAGCGACTTTCAATGATAATCCGCATCTGCTTACAATTTGTCATGATCACGTTCATTTGCATGTTAGTGAGATTAGCAAGAAGACAACTGGCTAATATAATGAGAAATTATCTGCGTTTCGTAGATTAGCAGATAATTGCTATCTATTCGTATGCCATTGCACCTGCTCAGATTGGTTAGTGGCTAAGTAGCCAGGTGCTCACGAGTATATAGTAAGAAGAGTATTCTATTGTATTCAGTCTCGGTTGCAAACAACTCACGATGTATTTTTTATTTTATTTTTTATAAATGTATAGTATTCTTAATATGGACGACTCCCGACGTCCACCCCTAGGTACATCTGACATTGCGTCGGGTACAGGTTTCCAGATGTTTTTCTCCCTTGACGGGTTTTTATATCTGGTTTTTCCTGGGCGGTCAATGTATTCATGATGGGGCTTAGGCATCAATTTCGTGTATATTTACATATGTAAGGGGGGGGGTAAATAAACGTAATAAACGCGTGTGGCTCCTGGGTGCTGCAACCACCGCATACCGCATTTCATGCGTGTTGTGTAATTTGTATAAATAATTGAAGTTAAGTATAGATTTGTCGAATACGGAATGTTGGTTAAAACAACGTGGCGCCTATAACTATGAAAGTTGTGTCCCGACATCGGGGGCAATTAATCAGACATTAAGGCGTGTTGATTACTTTGCCTAATTGGCTATATGTGTGGAGGCCACGCCTCGAGCTCTTAAACTCCTCTGTAATTGGCTAACAGTTGAGAAGTGAATAAAGCTGATCTCAGTTAGTTGTGGCAAGCTCACCCGAGGCACGCAGTCTTAACGCGGTCTAGGGAGAGCTACAACGTGGGCCGAGACCAAATGTGACACAATTCGATTTTCTGTGTGTCTTTGTTCGATAGAAAGGTGGAGAATTCCCCGAACTTGGTACCTCTGACGTGAAGGTTTAATAACACTCAAATGAATCTTTAACAACTATAATAACACTTTTACCATACGTTCCTATGGCAGAGATGTTATGCCATATCTCATATTGTACTAGTAGGCGGGTGACATAGGCTGAAATGAGTATATATTGTGAATGATATGGTATTTTTGTTGTCCTCAATTGATTAAAAAATCTAGGTTTTAAAAAGTGTCAACAAATGCTTTTTCTTTACTATTGTGCTCTTCGACTATGGAATTGCTCTAAAAATTACGATTTTTGAAAAATATAAGGACAAGTTACTCAAAATTCTTCACTGTAACACTTAAAAGAATGATATTGTATGGTGCTATGGGACAATAGTTTTATGATTTTATATAATAAACCAATGAATATTGTGACGTCGTGCGATTTATGACCAACTTTATCAAAAATAATGAGAAGTTAAATTTTCAGTTTTGCATTTCGTAGCCATCTTCTGTTAAAACGCAATCATGAATGCCAAGTCGTGGTCATCCTGTGTTAACATCATCGTTGTATCGGTTGAAGTTCATCAAGTCAAAAAAATTGGCGGGTGAAGCGGAGTTCAGTGTTATTCCTGAGAACCAGGTTCATTGAATTCTAGTCGACGTATAGATCCATCATTGGATGAGCCTTGATGGCTGTCAAAATGATTTGTATCAAGTTTAAATTCGGCATTCTGAGTCTGGATTTTGGGGATGGGGGTGGGTGGCAGCATGGATTTTTACCGCCAGTACATTCGGACTGCATTACTTACCACAGCATTAATTTTATTACAATTCAAATTCTTGTGTTAGATGTCAGGAAATTTGTGTTGGTGGACATGTTTGAAGATGTCGTCATTTTGTCTGCACTGTGGCACTAAACAATATTCGAAATTGAGTACAATCACAGGGGCTTGTGTGACACGGGAGATTTGCCGTCATGTGACTAGCCTCTGTGAGTACAACCGTATCTGAAGATGATTTTGATTGCTGTGGAAATTATTCCTACCGCTAAAACCACGAATGATGATATGACAAGCGCGTTGTCTGACGTGGTTTTTCGACTCAAATTAAGTCTGAAAGAAGGTTAACTAACGTTGGTTCGTGTACATCTGATATTTTGGGTTGCCATGTCGTGAACACTTTTTCCTGTAATTTTAGTTTGCAACATATTGTTGCAATTAAATGTATCACATTTTGATTGTTTTTGTAGTCTGTATCATTGATTGTTAGTTTTCTTCTGTTATACGAAACTATGCTCCCTGATTGGTCTTCTTATCGGAAACATAAATCCTAAAATTTGTTAGCTAGAGCTAGACTTCACATACGGATTCTGATAGTGATTTCTTTAGCCAATCACAATCAGTTAATTTGGACCAATCATTTCCAAGGCTACTGATAGTTACTGACCAATCCCACATGGGATTAATTTCCGCGCCTTTTACCGAAGATCAAATGTATGTTTTTCAGTAGTCTTTGTTCTCGTCATCAATAAACGTTGCTGCTCTGTTCTACGTAATTGGTTGTGTTTTTGCATAGTCGTCTGTTGCCGAACCGTCCCCTAAAATACAGTTATTCTCGTACGCTGCATTTTTTGGTGATCTTGGAATCCTGGTCTCGGCACCAACATACGTAGAACAGAGCAGCAACGTTTATTGACTTCTACCCGAGCACTTTTGCTCATGTCGGTAAATTTAATTTCCTTCTAGTTCAAGCTCATGGCTACGGCCAATCTGTGCAGCACTCCGTGCCGTTCTTGTATGTTTCGCAACTTGAACGCAACTTTGTTTGGCCAGGCTAGACCATATTCTCGTAAATACAGCGCTTCATATGTTTCACCAATTCCATAGTTTCTGGTGACTCAATAAAATGGGGCAAGGTCGTCATTGTTTTGATTCTGAAGTTAATAACATTTTTTTGGTGAGATTTGCTAACCAAAATGACGAACGTCTACGCGTCAGCCAATCACAGCCCCTGTCGCTGTGCATCATGACAATGATGTCACCCACCCACGCCACAGGCGTTACGTTGCTAGAAAGCGTTACAATTCGAGTTTAGTTTACAGTTATACAAGGAAGAAGTAATTTTAGCACCAAAACATCGGTGAATTTCGCCAATTTTTGGCATAAATGATTAAATAAATTTTATGTTCGTAATCAATCAGGACAACCCGAGTGGGAACGAATGTACTTCCTCATGGTTTGCCTTTTATAACGAACACCACACCACATGCTCCCATTGTGACCGTCAGACAATCTACTAATGTTAGACAAGTTGACATCTCATAGAATCATGGGATGGTTGGAAAATAAGCTTCCCGTCAAACTTGGACTTCTAACGTTTTTAGTAGGCGTCGTAGTCAATGTGCGGTCGCCAGCGTGTCGCCGGTGACACCGCGTCTACCGCCAGCCGCATTGAATCAGATCGTACCCTTGTGTAATTTTGATATTACAATGTATATAGATAGAAATAACAGGTTCTCCGAAATTAAATAACGTTACATTGTTTATTGCAATTTCCAACTTGCAAAAAAATGATCGGTATAGTTCCATTGGAACCATCCTTAATAATCACGAAAACAAGGATACTCCCCTCCCCCGATAAACTGACAAGTCCCGTACTGTTAAACCCATCCGTCCAATGAGTGGATGTCATTACGTCATTACGTTCGGCGTAACAACACGCGCGCATACTAGACTTATGACAACTGAAAAAGAATTCATTTTAGGTAAGGACATCACTCTAGACACCAAGAAAAATGTAGCCGGCCTACTTGCCTGACTTTGTCGGTTTGTAAAATACCGCCAAACATATTGTATGTTGAACTACTACATTCCGTCAGTACCCATTATCAGTAGACTGTGCAATTAGGGCGGTAGAATACTAAAATATGATCATCGGGCGAAAACATCCAGCGTGACCTTGATGGGGTTTCACCCCCATCCCTATTACCTATTGAGTTACGTATTGATTGGGTGTTTATATTACAAATGTCTTGAAATGATATCCTGAATTAGTTTTTAGGACACATTTTGAATGTGGTAAACATAATTTTGTGCTGCATGCCAGGGCGTAATATTAATCTTAATTTTTTAAAAACTTTTTTATATAATTACTATAAATTATCATTATTATTACAATTATTTTGCTGCAAGAATTATTTTGTCCATGAAAACCAACCGGTGCAGCAACTTTATTGTAAAAGCTAATATTAAAATAATTCATAATAA